CTAAACCCTACACCCTAAAAGCCCGAAGAACCTTGAACCGTGCCTGAAGCTCAGCTTGAAGATCCTCGAAGTCACCATCCGATGGCTTTGGCCTGGGCCCCTAAAGTGGACCCTGAACCCAGAGGCTGCTTAGAGTGATTCTAGGGACCCTGAAGGATACATATAGGGTATAGGGTTTAGGGTTTAGGGTTGTAGAGTAGGTGTATGTAATGACTGGGGGGCTTTGCTACTTGTGGAAGCTTTCTCCCTGCTGCCTAGTTGGCAGGTGGATCAACGAATGGGTGAAAAGGCCTTTATCCTAAACCCTAGCGGGTTACTAGGAGCTCCAAGATAGACCGCAACGGGTTCTAATCCTTATGAAGCGCAACCCCAGGTCTGGGAAACGCCCGGAATACTGGTTGCTAGGCCTTTGAATCGCCCGCTTTCATCTCATTATCCATTTGACTTCCATTTGATTCTCGATTGTGTGATAATATCCCTGAACCCGACATCTCTTTATATAACCCTTATATTAATCCCTATATAACTTAACCTCTGTGTATATATATATATACTACCCTAATATCTCTTTATATCCGAAAAACAAATATATGACCCTGTAATCAAGGGCCAGACTCGGAGCAGAAGTACCCTGCACGCTCAAAGACTGAAGCCTGGGCTCCCGTGCTATTGGGGAGCATGGGGTTCTTGATATAAGGTTTCGGGGTTTAGGTGTATAGGGTTCGTGGTTGGCTTTAGGAGTTTAGGGTTTAGGATGTATGGTCTAGGGCCTAGGGGTTTAGGGTTAAGGGGTTTAGGGGAATCAGGGAATAGGTCTCCAGAGTATTACGCTGGATGGAGGACATCTTGCACTTAAGGTCCGAAATAATGCAGTTCTTAGCGCGTGAAGCCATATTGTATATAGGGCGGTGCAAGACTTCCTCCATCCACAGTATGACGTTTACATTGCAATCACCATTGTTGCTCTTATTCCCGGCTACTGGTACCATTACTCGCGCAACCTAATCTCCATAATCACCCTAAACCCTAAACCCCAAACCCTGAACCGCGTGGTATTCTGCGTCACCTGACCTTCCGTGAGCTGGTAGGCAAAAACTAATGAACGCAAAAAGAACAGAGCAAAGAAAGAGATATGTAAGAGCAAGCAGCCTATCACTCTAGAACCAAATCGATACTTGCAGGGAGGAAGACCAGGAAACCTAATGATTAGGGTGTTCAGGGCTTAGGGCATAGGAGTTCAGTTGAATGACATATACGGACCTCCACACAGATGCAAACATGTCTAGTGCTGAGCAGGACATTACAAGATAAATGCCCCCATCATAACGTCCGCTCTAGTTGTTAATCACTAGAGACTTTCAGCAAGTCAGACATGATCGGAACTTCGGATCGGGCCCCATAGAGTCATCCCATAATTACTATACGCTGGTATCATAATATGGGGAATACAGAATTCTAGTAGGACATCATATGTAATAAGAATATGAATACTGATGATACCGATACTAAACAATCGTAGGGATTGCCTATAATCCCCCTTAAGTAGATAGAATATGGCTTTGGGCATGGTTATTATAATAAGATCCCCATATCCCCCATATTCTGTCTAGTTAAGGGGGACTATAACTCCAACCCGCTGTCCAATCTCTGCACTGAGGCCAGTGGCTGCCGAGCTCAAAACGGAACCGGCCATGGAGCGTACTGCATGAACGACTGCCTGGAAAGCAGCAAGAGCACTCACCTCCCCCTAATCACAAATAGTCCAATGTAGCACAATCATAGATGGGAACCCTACCCCAGACCCTAATCATAAACCCTCAGCCCTTTACCCCAAACCCTCAGCCTAAAACCTCAAGCCCTGAGCCCCAAAACCCTAAACCCCAAACCCTCAGCCCTAAACCCCAAACCCTAAAAAGTAGTGTCCGTTTTCTTTTCCATTATCCCTATATAACCCCTATGTTACCCTATATAATCCCTATATCCCCCAGCCCTAAACTTTTTGGATCAATTTTGGGCCTTGCCACGGCTCGCATCGGGCACCGCCTTCGGCGCTTTGCCACGACGCGTGTTCTTCGGAGAGGCTCGGCGCCCCATGGCGCTGAAGTCAGCCAGGGGAGGACAGGGAACCACTACGAACTGAATTCCCTGGGCCAAGGGCAGCGCAAGTGACAAGATAAAAGATCCTCGGGTCATGCAGACTGTTAATGTTAAGCGCAAGGGCTTACACCCGAAGCCCTGAGCCCCCAAAAAAACCTAAATAGTAGTTTCCATGTTCTTTTCCATTATCCCTATATAACCCCTGTATTACCCTATACGGGGTTTAGGGCTTAGGAAGTTTAGGGTCTTACCAGAAAACTATGCAACGTTGACACATTGTGTTACACAGCTGCTCAGTCCGGAGCAGTTGCTAGGGCTAAGGATTTCGGTTCTAAGGTTTCGGGTTTAGGGTTACTCCCTAATGCTTGCTTAGATGTCGGTGATGCTGATACTAGACTCCAGTTGATCTCTTACAGTCATCCCCAGCCCTCCGCCCCTATAACCATCCCAATATACAACTTGAAATTCTGCTCCCAGGGTTTAGGGTTTAGGGTTCCCACATTCCACTCCTCCCCACCATCCCCCCGAGCCCCGAAAGATTTGAGGCTCTTGCTATGCCAAGCTGGGGCCGCCACAAGTGACATTCGTCTCGCAACCTCCTGCCACTCACCGAGCTTTCGGTCTTCTCATTCTTAGTTTTGATAACAATAGGGTATATATCGGGGAATATAGGGATGATATAGGGGCTATATAGGGATTATATGGGGGATTATATAGGGATTCTATAGGGGTTATAGCTGCTACGAGTACTGTTTCCCTCCTGCCCTACTTTCGCTATTTTGACACAGCCCACCTTTTGGAGCAGGCCATGAACAGCAGCTGCCACGTCGGCAGCTGTCGTGGACTCAGCAATTCCGCCAGAAGAGTACGCACAGATACTTTAACTGACTGAGGGCTAGTGTGGAATGAGGGAATAGATTATATGGTGATTATGTTGGGATTACATTCTCTCGTTCCCTAACAACCAGCAAGTTAAAGACAGGATGTGGGCATTTGTTGAATCATCGCGGTCCTTCATCACGCTTTATCTGGACACTGTTGTAGGAGCCCATTTAATGAGACTAGCCTTTAGAGGTGCAAACACACACACACACACATATATATATATAGTTATTTATTTATATTTATATTATATCATATAGGTATGTAATGAGGAGGATAAGAGAAGAGGGTTGCTAGTTGCCCAAGCTTCTAAACCCAAACCCTACATCCCTAAGCCCTAAACCCTAAGCCCTAAGCCCTAAACCCTAAACCTTAAACCCTAACCCTAAACCCTAAACCCTAAACCTTAAAGCCTACACCCTAAACCTTAAACCCTAAACCCTACACCCTAAACCTTAAACCCTAAACCTTAAACCCTACACCTTAAACCCTAAACCGCGCGCCCATGCTAAGGGCCAGGCCGGCAAGTCCTGGGGAGC